CGGTCCAGGGGCTGACACTCTAACCACTTAGCGCCACACTTTTTAAACCAGGAAGAATTTGAACTCTGGCCCCTGTCCTCTCCCTGTCCTAACTGACCATAGTAAGAGCCACAAAGTTTTTGACCTGAAAGGAATTTGGGCAATCAAGGTGTATAACCTTCATCTTAAAGACAAGGAATATGCAGCTCCGAGAAGTTCTGTGTATAAGACCACACAGCTAGATGATGGTAGGGCTTGGAGCAGAACTCAACGCCTCCTCTCCCAGAGCTTTTTCTCCTCCATTACTCTGAAATCATCATAACTGCAAAAGCCCTAGCTGGTTTGGCTCAGTGGATAGAGCATCAGCCTGTGGACCAAAGGGTCCCAGGTTCAATTCTGGTCAAGGGCACCTACCTTGGTTACAGGTTCCTCCCCGGCCGGCCTGGGGCCAGCCCTGGTCCGGGCATGAGCAGGAGGCAACCAATCAATGTGTTTCTCTCACATCAAAGTTTCTCTCTGTCTTTCCCTCTCTCTTCCACTCTCCCTAAAAATCAATGGAAAAATATCCTCGGGTGAGGATTAACCAAAACTAAACTAAACTAAAATAAATAAATAAATAAAACTGCAAAAGACTAGCCATTGGTCAGAAATGGCTGGGTTTTTGCAGTTATGTGGAAGAGGGTCAGAGCTTGAGATAGGGTCACACTGAAAGTTTGGGGACTGGAAAACCTTTCCTGGTGGAGCTTCCAACTACAGTTAATAAAAACAGCAGATTTTCAAAGTGAGTAACAACAAGGAAAAGCCTCATTCATTTCCCAGCAGCCTGAGATGACCACAGTTTCTGGATTCAGGGATGGTGGAGAGGGTGGCAAAAGAAGGATTAGTTTGTGCCATCCTTGTTCCCCAGGCTCAGAACTGAGGCCTGGGTGGTGGAGGACTCAAGGTCAGCTCTTCGAACGCCATTATTAGAAGCTCTGAGCCTAATCCCCCCCCCCCCACACACACACACACACACACACACACACACACACGACTATTCGCAAACACTCTATCTAGAAATTCTAAACAGTCTTCCCCTCCCCACCCCCACCCCCAGCACCTCCCAGCCACTGCTTTTAAAACTCTGATGCAAATCACAGGCTTCAAAAACCTTCCTTTGGTGACAGTTTTACGATGCTGGCTCCATTCATCCATATGGTTTGACAGACTGTGAAACACGAGTAACCGGACCAATAAGAAAAACAAATTACAAAAACACAACACCTCATCTCTCCCCAGTCACTCACCCAACCAAAGACAACTTGGGAACTTACAATGGGTCATAATATCACTCTCTTGGTGTTAATCATCTTTTCAGAGTTCCAGAACACACGATGGTTTTTATCCACTCACCTATCCCCACCCCAGGCCCAGGCAATTCTGTATCTGTCCTTGTTACATACCCACAAACTTAAAGACTACTTAAAACTAGGGTCATGCTTTTACATAGGCCCATCAAGGGAAACCTGCCTGGGCAAAAACCATTTTCAACGGCTGTGGCATTTCCTTGGCTGGGGGCTTGCCACAGTAGGCTACATTTCTGTCTTCTAGTGACTTTCAGTACACTCAGAAAAAAAAAACTACAAGGTACTTCCCACGAGGTTGGGATAAAAAACAGGCCTGGACTCTGCTGCCTTTATATGGCCCAGCCCCCACCACCACTACAGTCAGTGTGGCTGCACTGAGAACGGAAACAGCAGACTCAGTTTCCTTTCTTTTCCTGGTGCCAGCTCAAAACAAAGCATGCTGCCTGCGACATCTTTCTTTATTGCATTGTCTGAGCAGATGGCTCTGAAATAGTTTTAGACATTATGGTGTTTCTCAGATGTATTCCAAATTCCAGTGACTTGCATAATTCCAAAAAGACAGGGAGATAAGTCTCCAATGAAGTTGCCCCTGAATTTCAGCCCGCCGTATGGATCTGAGCAGCTGCATTCCACTGTGATCTCTGGGTGGCTCCCAGGTGGTCTGCAGGCCGGGCTACTTTCAGAGGTTTACCCTGAGACAATGCCTCCACTTGGGTTCTGGCAGAAATTAGTCTCCTTTCTGGGTATCTCATCCAAACCAGACATTCTTCCCACTGAAAAATAATGTGCGCTAATGAAGCTTGGAGAATTCAGGGCGCTTTTCCCCCCCTCCAGTGGCAACCAGAAGCAGATGGAGAAGGTGGTTCTTAGGCATCTGTTGGTTTAAAATGTCTGAGGGTCCTTTTTCATAAGGGGCTACAATGTCCATAAAAGGCTGCAAACTCACAAAGTCCCATCCTCAATGTTCCCTCTTCCTCTCATTCAGAAAGAGCTAAAACGAGATTAGAACCAGGAATGCGTCCCCCCTAACCCCTGTCTCTGGTATCTAACCTGCCACAGCAAGAGCAAAGTCTGGCTTCTAAGTGGCTGACAATGACACAACTTTCCCAGGCACAAAACCACTTCAGATTAGAATGCACTGTATCCAGATCATAGAAAGTATAGAGATGAAGATTTGAGGTCCATCTATACACATGACCTGCTGTCTGACCTTAGCTATGTAAGTATATCTAATTCACCCAGAGCTGTGTCCTTAATAACTAAACAGAGATAAAAATAAATCACTCTAAGCAAGTGAAAATCCTAGCAAAAATAAAGTTTTAGTACAATTTTGTATGATCACAATTATAAGCATGAGAAATTAGTTTACTGCTCTCATTCTCTATAAACAAATAGTTACTTGAGGTAAAGCACTGTTGGTTTACAAGGAATAATTAAATAATAATAACAGTTATTCTTTTCTAAGCAGGCAGTTATAATAATAGATTCATATGTGCATAATCAAGTCTGGCAGAAGGTGGCAGACATTCCCAGTTAAGTGCATACAATCCAGAGTCATGATAACTTAATAAAAGTAAGTTGTTTCATGTTGATAGCAGATTTGGGAAGGGTGGTTTACCTGAACTAGAACAGCAAGTAAGATTAGAATTTATATTAAAAAACATTATGTTTCCTAAGCATGCAGATATCAACCAGAACACAATATGTAACGTGACTGATTTACACACAGACCTTTATCCAATTCATATTTATGTTACCTACATGTGTAATTACTTCACTACATGGTCCTTATCTTGCTTGTAGGTGAAATAAATGGGGGTGACTCACACATCTAGGCTCAGACAATGTAGCTGCTAAATTAAATAACATGTAATACCCATTTACACTTCATACATGTCCATCAATGCTTTTAAATTCTATTTGTCCAGATGTGACTGCCTGGTTGTGTGGCCACCTGCCGAGTCCCCTTTGTGATCTGATCAGTCCAGGCAGCTCCTGTTTCTGCCTCTAACACCCTGTTGGGCAGTAATAAGATGTTAACGGCAACAACAGAAAGAGAAGCCAGGCTGTCAGCTTCAGAGAGAAGGGGGGTGAAGAGTACGAGGAGGAGGAATAAGAAAGAGGGTTGAGGGGTGATCAAAGGCAGGCAGGAAGAAAGCCAAACTGCGGAGAGGAGATGTGGCTCCAGGGGCTGGGGCTCCTAAGGAAGACCCCAAAGCAATGAGATTCAAATTGTGCCATCCAGCTACCTGAGCTATTGAATTACTGACTGTCCCACATGGAGAAAGCAAGTATAAATGAAAAATGTCCAATACTCAGGGCAGATAGAGCCCTACAGAGGTGTGGCATGAAACCTGATCTCATTTATTCCCAGAACTTTATCTACCACCACTTTACCCCCCAATCCTAGAAGAAACCTTTGTGTGACCTGACCAGTTTCTGTAGGGGGCGGCAGTGGTGTCTGGCTTTTTTTTTTTTTTTTCCCCTTAGGGGAGAGAGGCTCAAAAGCACACAGAGAAAATGCTAATGTCATTCAGCTACGTTTCATTGTCAGGAGGGACACATGAGGAAGAAAACAGGTCTCCAAACCATCCTCCTCCCACCCACACCCCCCTCCTCCCAGCACCATCATCCATGCAGCCTTTTGGCTTGATGAGCCTCTGCGCTTTGTTCTAATTTAGTCCATGCATAATTTATTCACGTGTGTATTGTCTCCCGATCAGCAACTTTTAAAAACAAATGAAAAATAAGGTGTTTTATTAAACAAGTTGTTTAAAAAAATAAAGGCAGATGGTGTACGTCTCCCAAAAAACAACGTGCCTGCTCCCGCCTTAGGAGGTTAAAAGCTCCTGCAGGAGGCTCGGCTGGCCGGGGGTATTGTTTACACCCTCTCACCCCCAGGGAAAGGGGCTGGGGTACAAAAAGGAGCAGCTAATTACAAAGGACCACTCAACTCCCACCTAGAAGAAGCCGGCAGGAGTGTTGCGTGTATGCTAGTGTAGGCGTGTACGGCGACTCGGAACTACAAATGCATCCCATTGCAACTGTTTCTAATTATAAAGTTCGAGTATAAAAATTCATAACTAATTCCACTAACCAGACCGCTTTTCTATCCCTCCCCCCACCTCTAACCCTACACAGACACCCTCCCCGGAACACGTACCCTTCTGCGGTCCAAAAGGAAAAAACATAAACAAAAACCTGGAGCGAGCGGCGCAACCCTGGAGCGTAGAGACTTTGCGCCCGCCCGCGCGTACACCGGCTCCAGGGTAATCAGGGTACCGCTTTCCCGAAAGGCAACAAACCTGGCGCCCATGTGGATTCCTCTAACTTGAATTGACCCGGAGGCATCGACCTGAGTATGTGATTTCGGCTAAACTGCAAGTCAGCCAAAGGCTCGGTAAAAACTCACAGCATCAGCGGCGTGGCCAGCGCGAGCCGCGGGGAGAGAGAGAGGATGCGGCGAAGTTACGCCCATTTGTTCTGCCATAAAACATTTTCTTTCTTGGGTAGAGAGGCTGTGGCGATCAAGTGCAGTGTATCAGCGCTCCACAGCCAGGACGGGTGCCGGGAGCCGCTGCTCTCTGATCAGCCTCAGGTTCAAAAGACCTCTTAACAGCAGCTTTAACATGTGTACGTATATATGTAAAACTCCAAGAGCTGGGACATTCTTAC